GGGAACAAAAAACAAAAAAACAAGGAGACTAGGCCAGGCCGAGAAGCACGAAAATTGTGCAAGTAAGGGCCAGGTTAGGGAACTTTGGTCCTGCTTGCAGGAGTTTTGAAAAGGTGGACAAAAATACTACTGCTGTGGCTTGATTGACAGGCCACTTCTTCTGCATCTTTTGAGCACACCCTGGGCGATACTCGGCATCATGTGCACACAGACATTCTGTATGTGTGTCACCAGCCTCGGGGCAAACATCACAGGCTTTGGAAGGTGGCCTAAGAATGGTGCTGAGCGCAGCGCAGCTTCAGGTTTTAGTACGGGTGCTTTGGGACTTGAAGACGCCAGCTGGCATCAGCTGGGCAAGTGTGTCCACTGGTAACTTAGAAGCAAAGGGAACCCAGCCGGTCACTGAAGCCAACCTCCTCCCAAACTTGAGACCACGCGGTAGCATGACCCCTTCCCATTTCTTCCTCCTCAAAATGTCTGTGACCCCCCCAGTGTCACGCCCCCACTGTCCTATAGCTGACCCACCCTGGGACCAGTCCTTCTCACCCTCTCCTCCTTTCACGCTGCTTCAGAGACTGGAGTCTTTCTAAACCAGTGGTGGTGCCGGTGGCGGGGGAGGGGGAGGCTGTTGTTTTTACTTAATAGGTGCTTGAGGGAAAACCAGTTAAAAAAAACAGACTCCAAGGCTTAGAAAAGGAAGGTCCCTCTAATCCATGTTCCAGAGATAACCTCTGTTAACATGGGATATGTACTGCTCCGGACCGCTTCAAAACATACAGACTTTTTTGTTACTTGCTTTGACAAAAATGTTACCATTCTTGCTTTTTTCACTTAAATTGCACCTTGGATGTCTTCCCATGTTACCACATGTACAATTATGCAGCTAAATTATTTGGCTATTGATGGGAATTTGGATGTTTGTAACTTACCACTTGCAATCAGAATGCCAACGGACCTTCTGTACCTATATCCGTAAGTACTTGTGCACGTATTTTGATAAGATGATTTCTCAGAAGTGAATTTCTAGGTTGAAGGTTGTGTGCATTACCATTTTTGACAGACTGCCAAAATGCCCTCCAAAAACACTGTACCGTGACCGTGGACACGACGCTTGTCCCTCACACCCTCAACGACGCTGTTACACAGCCAGCAGCCGTTGGTATTTTCCCTGCTTCGGTTCTGCCAGCGCCCAAGAGGGGCTCTGAACCTCCTACCCTTGCTTTTATCTGCCCACAGGATTACATGTGAAAAATGTTCCCTTTAGGAAGAGGCAACAAAAGGCTCTGCTGCTAAAAGAAACTTGAAAAAAAACACTGCTCTACAGAATAGCCCAGAATGTGTTCATCCACTTCGACCTCTTCAGATGCCAACAACTCCCAGCATGCCCTCCTTCCTGAATTTCAGGACCCTTGTGCCAACGATTCCTGCACATTTTCTCCCTGGAGTCTGGGGGCACCTGCAAATGTCCAAAGTGGACCCCCAGCCTCCTCGGTACGCCGCATTTCAGATAGAGGGCGCTGAGCTGGAACGCTGTGCCCCACACGTGCGTCCACATGCCCCAATTCCATGTGCTTGATGTGCACCCAGCCTCCAGTCCTGCCCACTCCTCCTCCTTACCCCTGCCTCCTCCTCTCACTGGCACCAATTTCTAGACCCTTCCAGACCTGGGTCCTCTCCTCCTGAAACCCTCTGCCCCACCCACCTCTACAGAATCCAAGTCTGAGCTCAAAAATTCCAAGACAACACCTGCCGGGCAAGTATGCACTTGAAGGGGCCACTCAGGGCCAGCTACAAGCAGCCTGTGGCCCTTCCAGGCCCAACTTCCCACTCGTCCCCAGACTCCGTGGGCACCGTGCTCCCCGCGGCACCTGTCCTGCCGCACCAGGTCACTGCTGACCTGTGTGCCTGCCTTCGCGGAGCCTGTGTTCCAGGCAGGTGCTCCCTAAAGTATGCTGGATGAACAGAGATGAAGTGGCAGAGGAGGCAACAGGCTTGTAAGCTGGCCCAGAAATAATTCTTCCAAACAGGCTGTAAATATTCCCTGTCTGGGTGCTCCCCCTTTTCACTGGGATTTGCCTGAAGGAGAAATGAAGGGCACAGAGGGCTCCAGTCACATGAGCACAGACAAACCCCAGGGAGCCGGTGGGGTCCTTTCACAGCCTTCTCCACTGATGTGAGGGCTGCTTCCTGCTCAACTGGAGGACAGGCCTCAGCTGGCAGGGAGGGCCGGTCAGATGAAAATAGACCTTGCATCGGAAGAAGCAGCTCAGTAACATCCCGTATCCACGAAAGTGGTCTCGCCTGGGCTCTGAGGTCTTGCTGACCTGCCTCGACAACAAAGGGACTTGTTTTCAGCGATATGGCCCCAGCTTGAGAGGTAAAGGACAACGCTCTGTTCTCGTCACTTAAACTACTTCTGCACTGTCACAGATGGTTCCCCTTTACCTACCCAGCAGCCTAGAACACTTTAAGGAACTAAAAAATTCAACTTGAAAAATTGTTTAAGTACCCACGTTGATAGACTACTTGTACTAGGTGAGCCACAGCCATCAAGGCAAGGTATTGACAATTGCAATTCAGAATTCCTAGGCTGGGACACTTG